TTATAAAGTCAATCTAAGGGTAGACGTTTACTCAGCAGTGGACTTTGGTAGGACTCATTAATTATTATTACTGCATAATAATTTTTATGCTAAGCAGTGACTGAAATTAATTTAACGAGCTACGGCTATTTAAGAATTAAACCGCCGTTGCGTTCTACATTTTCTCCCTCATAATTTCTGTAAGATAAAGTTAATTGTCTCCTATTTCATTTTATTGCACTAAGATTCCTAATAGTGAACCTTCTTAAATGTAATTTAGGTTTTGTGATTTTTGCTTCCTTATTCATGAAACTTGCTCAATTATTGTTGTATTTCGTGTTTAAATAACAAAAATTATTTTTCTTCGAAAAATAAATAAAATCAAATGAAAGCAATGAACGCATTTGCGTACATTCACTTTAGTACTACTTGAAATATTTTAGACTGCGATGCGCATTTTTTTTCTTGGACAGAATTTTTTAATCTACTACTGCCGGGCTATTCACAATCGTCTCGGAAAGCGAAATCGACTCTCTCGCACCGAAACCAATAAACGCTATTCACATTTAACGTTCGGATAAAGATCACTTAGATACATCCTATAACTATTGTATCGTCATTTAGTTACATGCATTTACGAATTTTGTAGATAAATAGGCTTTTGTATTTTTTTAGAGTAACGCCTGAACAAAAACATAATGCAATATTTTGGAGTTAGACATTGATATCGAATATAAAAAATATATAGTTTAACTATATAATAAATAACAAAAATAAACTGAGATATGTCTCGTTTCTGTCGGGTCTGGGTTTTTTTCTATGGGGCATGACCGTACTTCTTTGACGTTTGTTTTCGATAATTGTGACAGTTTGCACCGGAAACTTCACGAGAGCTCTGAGGCTGGCGAAAACTTTTCGAATATTGATGATTAGTTTCAATGAAAGAACAATTCAAAAACATGAAAATTATGATAAATACCATACTTTTGCAGTGCTAAAGCGCCAAAAAAGTGCTCAGATCATCACGAAATATAGACCAATCGACGCAGAAATAAAATCCAATCCAACGATATATATAACTCATATTGGCCAAAATGGCGCTTAAGTAACAGTGGTAGAGCCACGCGGCAGCTTTTGCTGTCGCACGCATGGGCCGGCTCGAACCGGGGTGGTACCACGACCTCACAGAAAACCAGCGTGAAGTAGAGGTTTACCTCTGCGTTTCGCTTGGTGAGTGCAGGTGGCCGGAGGCCCTTTTTACTGGAAATGAGTCATTCCATCTTAGTCCTCACGGGTGACAACGCATCTACATTTTGAGTTGTAATAGAGGATAGATGTAGATGTCTATGGACCGCAGCAACCACTTACCATCAGGTGGACTGTGTGCTCGTATCTCACCCTTATCCTATATAAAAAAGCCGTGGTTAACTATGACATTGGGACGTCATACACCCTTAGTCTCCCCGTGACCATGGGTGCTGTAAAGTGTTCAAAACGTCGGGAATATAAAATAAGTTAATATACGCGATAAAGTCCGTAAAGTTAGTTTTATTTAAAAATTATTAAAAAGTATTATAAATTTAAAGTTTATTTTACACAATAATTATACTCAGGTTTAGTAGATTTTTAAGTATTATTTTCCAAATTGCATGATTAGATACAACTTTTTTTTCACAAGGTATTCAAAATCTATTATGCATATCAATTTAATCTCTTCGAAAATTGTGCCAAATAATAGGTTACTTTATACATAATTATTATTGTAGTTGTAGATTAATAATAAAATTGTTTTGCGTGACTTTTGACACATATTTGCTACAAGTAACCAAGTTTTAAAACTGCCAAAAAACTATCCTGTCATTTTTTTAATATTATTTTTCATTAAAAGTGATTACTAAGCAAGTTAATATTTTGTTTTTTCTTTCTTTAACCAATACAGTAAAAAGATTCAATGTAACTCAAATTAGGAATTATAGTATTCTTATTTATTTTGTTTGCTGCTAGTACAATTATTGTTAGCACAAGTATTGTCTATGTCCGTTAAAAAAAAAAAACATTTAAATTTTAATCATATATCTTTTACATAAGTCTATTTGGCATAACAATGGTACCTACTTTTAATACTATACATCGCTTTTCTGTACGGTCTTGTGACATGTTATAACGTTTAAGTACTATTATCCTGAGACCGTTATCAACCCGTAATGCGTGTTAGTACTTTTTCCTTTCATACATTGGAAAGGACGTTAGTTGTCAGTATTTAAAAAAAATATATATTATGGGGATAAGTAGTTTCTCCTTACGAAGTGTACAGAGCAAATGTACTAAAGTAAAGTAAATTGCAGTACCTTGAGGATCATCAGCTGATTAGTGACCGCCAATACGGTTTTCGTCGGGGTCAATCAGCTGGTGATCTTCTCGTCTACCTGACCCATAGATGGGCGGAGGCAGTAGAGTCCAAGGGGGAGGCGTTGGCCGTTAGTTTGAACATTGCGAAGGCCTTCGATCGGGTTTGGCACAAAGCGCTTCTTTCGAAGCTCCCTTCCTATGGGCTTTCCGAGAAATTGTGCAATTGGATCACCAGATTCCTTGCAGATCAGAGCATCAAGGTCGTCGTAGACGGTGCATGCTCCGACTACAAGCCTATTAACGCTGGTGTTCCACAAGGCTGTGTGCTATCACCAACGCTGTTTCTTCTGCATATCAATGATATGTTGCTAACTTTTTACGTGGTAGAGCCATGCTGCAGCTATATTAGTAGTATAGTTGTAGCACGAACGGATCGGCTCGACTGGGGAAGGACCACGCTCTCACAGAAAACCAGCGTAAAATAGCAGCTTAGCGCTGCTGTGTTTCGTATGGTGAGTGTAGAGAACCAGAGACCCTTTTTACTGGCAAAGAGGCATTCAATCTTAGTCCTCACGGGTGACAACGCATCTGCATCTTGAGTCTTTATTGAGGATAGATGTAGATGTCTATTGGTCACAATAACCACTTACCATCAGGTGGATTGTATGCTCGTTTGTCAACATATCCTATAAAAAAAAAACTGGTAACATTCACTGCTATGCGGATGACATATGACTATGTAATTACCTATGTCGATGTCACGTGAGCATTGAGCGCTGTTGCCAGTTTTACAGGTCGCTTCAGGTCAGTAAACTAATATTATCAAGGATGATTTATTTCTTCTCAATTTTTTTACGCTATTTATTTTGTTTGAAAAATGATTTTTTTATTTTCTTTTATTATTGTTTATTTTATTATTTTAACAGACATATATCAACTTGTATTAACTGCTGTGCTATTTAACGTGATATCCTAGGCGCCACCCAGTTTAATAGCTGCAAAGTGGCTCTAAAATTGTTCTACTCTAACCTATACTCTTACATATATTCAAAAAACGTTTCATAATTCGTTAATTTCAAATAAAAACTTTATTTCAGAAATTTTATTTGAATTACTAAGAAAGTTTAAGAGGCGCTCCGTAAACATCTGTCACCATCTATCTAGAACCCAATACCCACTGATGTGCGAAGACGGACTTTCAAAGAACGCGATACATTTGTCAACATCAGAAAAATCACCCGATGCCTTAAAAAATCAAGATATATTAATTCTTTCAACTAAATATTGGTGGTGTAAAAATATCTTCTACACTATATCGTCCGCTGGTTGTCGTACGAGGCGACAGAGGGAAACAAAAACAAGAGATGGGTGGCGGTGAATTCCTGATAACAGCTCAAAATAATAAAAAACTGCGGTTGCCAATGAGCCTGCCAAGCGTGTCAAAATCCCCCCTATAGAACAATAAACGCCGGAGGTCTATGTTCAGCAGTGGACTTTTATAGGCTGTAATTATGGATGTATGGATATTAATTCTAATATAGCCTCGGTTTTTAATGTGGAAAGAATATTAGCTGTCGGCTTGAACAATTTGTCTGTTTGAGTCTTGGTAATTCAGGTTCTAAACGCTCCTCGTAAATTTAATAGTTAAATTGAAATATCGTGTTTTGTAGGTAGGAACTTTTAACATAGGAGTTCCTATGGGAAGATATCATCCTCTTGTCTATTTCTGCCACAAAATAGCAGTGCTTGCACTGTAAACATCCTTTGTTTAAAGTTGGCTAAAGATGTACATGGACTGCAGTAGCTACTTACCGTCAGGTGGAATGAAAGTTCATAGTGTCAAGTAGTTGTAAGTTTGTTTGTTAATTGAGTAAAATACGGGTAAAGAACTTCGTTCCAAAAAGAAATTCGAAGACCTGTGAAGTTGGCCAACATGCACTAAGGTAGCGCGACAAACATTTACTTGCCTAAAACTCTCTCAGAAATGAGACTTCGTTCCAAAAATATATTTATAATCAAAATTGATGTACTTTTTGAAGAGCTGCAACATCCACTTACTCTCAAGAGTATATGTTTCTGTTTATAACCGTGGGACACTTGTATAAAAAAGAATAGGAAATGTCTGAAAAGATCAAAAAACAACTTTAAACAAATTTAATAAATTTAATTTCAAAACTTTTCTAAACTTTTTGTATCCCTTATAATTTATGAAAAAATTATCAATAACCATTAATTTTATCAGTTTTTCGATTTCGCAAAAATACTGCACGTTTCTTAACACTCCGTTACACGCGCGGGGCACAGGCGAGCTTCAGTAGCATATATGTACCTGAAAATGACAAAACTTAACCGTCCGGATTTTGAGTTTTGAAGTAGCTGTTGCAAATATCTTCGCATGACTTTCAGTGTCGCGTCGTTTGCGCCGGCGCTCTGATGTATCCTGTGTAAGTATTTTCGCATCCCTGGGGCACACCAGTGCCCCACGCGTGTAATTACGTACCTAGTGGTATGCAGATTAGAGAGGAGATTTTTCCGTATTAAGTTAAATAATATGTGTAAAATACAACTTCCGGCTATTGTTTCTTTTAATAGTGGTACAATGTTCGTAACTTATTTGCATATTTATCTTGTTTTAGGTATTTTTACTTGTAATGTTTTATCTGGTTGTCTAAATGGACGGACAGTCACAACGCATAGTTCGATGGTTGGAAGAGACTGACGAAGAAGATGACGATAATTTGGCAGACCTGTCGAGTAGTGAAGATGAAGTAGATTGTTTTATAGAAGAAACACACGATTCTGAGTCGGAGCAAGAAAGCGACGTAGAGGAACAGGTAACCTCAGATTGCACGCCTGCATTGCCAGCGTTATCAGTGTCGAGCTATGACGAGGACGTTCCTTTGGCAAATTTAAGGAGTTACAAATATTTCTCATTATTAATAGTTACAAATATTTATATGTCAAGTATTGAATGGCAGGCAAAACCATACAGAACCAGCGTCCGATCCCAAGCGTCAAACATTTATAGTCGCATTTGTGTCCCTAAAAATGGTGCTTCAGCTTGCAAAATCCCGCTCTATTGTTTTGAATTATATTTTCATGAGGAGATAATTGACATTATTACAAGTTTTACCAATATATATATATACACACACACATACACACACACACACACACACACACATATATATATATAAAACATCATGCTCTTTCCCTTGATATTACGAGGTAAGTTTTTAGTCATAAGTCTGTCGAATTTCTGTCGACGCGACTACTTACATTCGGTGGCTATAGAACTTATAAAACCACAAATTCGACAGACTTATGACTAAAAACTTACCTCGTAATATCAAGGGAAAGAGCATGATGTTTTTAGATATAAAAGAGAGTGATTTTATGTCTCGAGAAGAAGATGTACCAAAGAAGAGAACCAAAACGGCCAAAGGTTACGACTGCGGAAGAGCCAAAGATCGATCGACCAGAACATCTTGTCAGAAATGTCAGAAGCCTGTGTGTAACGACCATAAATATGATATATGCCTTAGTTGCTATAATAAATATGTAACAGAGCCCAATGAGTAGTCGAATGGTGACGAAAACCTTTAATTTACGCCCAAGTATCTTTCTTCTTTAGTTTTTTCGTTATTAAGCCAAATACTTTTTATTTTTTGTTTCAGTTGAATAGTGACTATTTTTTGTTGTATTTTGATAAATCAATAAATACTTATTATATATAAAAAACTATGTTATTTTATTTGTTCACCTATGTTATAAACAACTCATAATATTTTGGGCCACAATTGTGCCCCGTGCGTGGAATCGTGTGACTATATAGGGCGCGTGTAAAGGAGTGTTAAATAAAATATAGGCTAGATAACTCCTGGCATCGCTCTCAATCTGTTCGTGAACTTTAATCGCCCGAAAAGACAGATATACAAAAAAAAATTAAAAGTGATTGTTGATAGTAGTATGGTGTGGTTAAAATAAATTGAAACGTTGAGAAGAGGTAGGCTAGCGTGGCATGGGCATATATTGCAAAGAAATGTAAATCATATAACAAAAAGAATGTTGGCTATGAGACGTTGTTGTCAAGAGGATAGATAGATATAAGAGTAGGGGAAGGCCTAGAGACCTAGGAAAGAGTGTAGGGAATGTGGCAGGCTGGCAGGAATGATATGCGTAAGAAAGGAGTGAGTGAGGTGACGACAGCTAATAGAGTAAAATGGAAGATGAAGACATGCTATGCCGACCCGAAATACCTTGAGTAAGGACAGGAAGAGGATTTTGTTAATATAAATAAAACACGCGGTAGAAGTAAAACTTTCAAAAAAGAAGACCAAGATAATAGGAATAACAACAGTTTGTGTGCCATTTCATCTTTCATCTTAGTCCTGAGGGTTAGAAATGCATTCTGATCTTCTTATATTGAGCTCGGTTGTTGATATCTTATTTCGTGTTCTTATCTTTGGGGTCACTTTCAGATTGTCATCTCACCAATATCATAAACCAACTCTCACCCGCCGCTTCACTGAACATATAAAAACGTATCCTCAGTACCTTTCTAGAAAATAGGACTGCACTTCTTCCTAGGCATCCGTCTGAGTAGGAACCACAGCTGTGTTTCGTTTTTAGGGTATGGAGAGACAGTATAAGTGCAGCATTGAAGTGATGACACATATGTAAGATTCTTTCGTTGAAGTAGATTGCAGGTGTCCATGGGATCTAGTAGCAAATTAGCATCAGATAGACTGCAAGTTCGTGGTGTTAAGTAGTTTAGTATAGTTTCGGTGTCACTCGAAATGTAGGTACGTAGTTTTCTATATGTGTGTTGGTCTAAGAAATCAATATTTAGTCTATAAATTAATAGACACAAATAATTTTAGCCCTTCTGTGAATGTCACTGTATGACACAAAGGCCCTGGAGCCATGCCAGAAATATATATTTATAGTATGCAAATATATAATAGAGATACAATAATCTAAAAACTCTCAATTATGTAGGTAGGTACATTATGTTGAGAATGTATTAAGCTAACATCAATCAACCATAGGACGCATGATTTTGTCCAAGTGACATAAGACATAACCTGAAAAGGTTCAAATCTAAATATCCTTTTTTTGACGCCTTCTCAGTACAAAATTCTTTGACAGAATTATTAAGGGACTGACGCATAACATTTTAAGATATTTTTGATATTTAGACGCTACAATTCCTTCTCAACTAATTTTATGTATGAAAGTCTGCCATTGTTTTTAGGCATACTATAAACCATGAAATATATTATATTATATTATTCAGGTTTCATTTTCTGATTAAAACATATGCCGTATTAGGCCGTAAAATCAATTTAATATTAGTCATGCCAATATCGGAGATTGGACTCGCGTTCCTTACCTACTATGAAGTATAAGTTCCTGCTCATTATCTATTACAGCTTTTAAGATTATAATTTAGTTACGAATTTGATATATTTCAACGTAATAATTCAATTATTATTAAAAATACAAACTTATTAAGAGTACCCTTAACTGACTAGCATGTATGCATAAATAAATCTAGATAAATCTCATTCACACAAAAAGGCGATATATGTGTGTCAGGATCGTGCCAAAGACAAGTCCGTAGTCTCTGCCTACTCATCTAGGTGACAGGCGTGAGTGTTTATGTAACTTTATATATATGTTTTAACTTTTATTGACTAAAACTTAACTTTATATTATGTAATAAAAAATCAGAAAAATCGGTTAACCCCGTAGCAATCGTCTTGCATACAAAAATGCCATTAAGTTTATGATTTCCTCGTTTTTGAAAGATTGTTAATAATCATCAATAACCTATAATTAAGTGATAACAGGGATGCTTTAATAATTAATTACTTGTCTAATTAACTTGCTCAAATGATTAATCAATTCCATTTGATTGAGCAACCACTGAATAGTGACCACGTAACAAAAATGCTTTAACTATACCTATTTAAAGATTAAGATTATACCCAAGTAACTGATGAATATAATATTAAGTTTTAATTAATACTGAAATTCTAAGTTATGGAATAAAAATAACGATAATTTTTCGCTTATTTTAAAGGCATTTTCAGGATTATATGTACATAACACCCCATGTGTACTTTTATAATGGTTAATTTCTACATAAATAAAAGAAAAATGAATTGTGAATAACAGTAAGTTATTCACAATTCATTTTTACACATTCATTTTTACACAAACCGCTCGCCTAGCGTGTCAACAATAGCAAAATCCCCCCTTTTAAACAATCTATGAGGGAGGCTTTCAGCAGTGTAATTTTATTGGCTGTAATAGTAATGGAACTGTAAGTTTTCCTAACAAAGTTTAAATAAAATAAAACAAAATAAAATAATATGGTGTTTATGCATGCTGCCTCATTTTAGTATTGCCTCCGTTTACCAAAAAATACCATTAAAATCTGCGTTAATAAAAAAAAATATCTATTGTAATATCTTAAATCCTCAGAATGTTTACTCTTTCTCCGCTGCGACATATTTCTTATAAAAAATCTTTTACCTTTTTCATAATATGTTTAACTGAAATTATAAGCTATAAAACTATGATAATGATAATATTTTTTCTTTTTACAGGCAATACAGGATGATTACATGGTGTATTATCTCATATGATCGCTGTCACATTTTAGTGTAGACATCGTTTACCAACACGGAATGTCGTTTGTGTTTTTTTTTTTACTTAACGAGAGTCAACGCTCTACCCACTAGCTACGGCCAAACATTTGTGTATAAATTTCTCTGCCATTAGCCTCACAACTGCTGCATATCGCTTAAATCGTACCACTTGGCATGCGTCCTGATAAATAGCAGTATCTGACGCCAGGTCAATATACAGCAGAAAAATTATTTGAAAATACGGTATAGGTAGTGATGACTTTGTAAGAATAGCTTCCACATATCGTCTGGTAACGTCTGGTTGTACGTAGTAGAGCCATGCTGCAGTCATATTAGTAGTATAGTTGTAGCACGCTTGGGTCGGCTCGACCGGGGAAGGACTACGCTCTCGCAGAATACCAGCGTAAAATAGCAGCTTAACACTGCTTTGTTTCGTATGGTGAGTGTAGAGAACCGGAGACCCTTTTTACTCGAAATGGAGCATTCCATCTTAGTCCTCGCGGGTGACATCGCATCTGTATTTTGATTTGTAATAGAGGATAGATGTAGATATCTATGGGCCACAGCATTCTCTGAAAATACGGTGTAATGATGACTTTGTAAGAATTACTTCCTCATATCGTCTCGTGTGTCGTAACAGGGGTGACAGAGCAAAACAAACCAGAAAATGGGCAGCAGCGTCTTGCTGAAAACCACTAAAAATGCCATTTGTAACCCGCCTGCCAAGCGTGGCAACTATGACGAATATCTCCCTTATAAAGTCAATCTAAGGGTAGACGTTTACTCAGCAGTGGACTTTGGTAGGACTCATTAATTATTATTACTGCATAATAATTTTTATGCTAAGCAGTGACTAAAATTAATTTAACGAGCTACGGCTATTTAAGAATTAAACCGCCGTTGCGTTCTACATTTTCTCCCTCATAATTTCTGTAAGATAAAGTTAATTGTCTCCTATTTCATTTTATTGCACTAAGATTCCTAATAGTGAACCTTCTTAAATGTAATTTTGAGTTTTGTGATTTTTGCTTCCTTATTCATGAAACTTGCTCAATTATTGTTGTATTTCGTGTTTAAATAACAAAAATTATTATTCTTCGAAAAATAAATAAAATCAAATGAAAGCAATGAACGCATTTGCGTACATTCACTTTAGTACTACTTGAAATATTTTAGACTGCGATGCGCATTTTTTTTCTTGGACAGAATTTTTTAATCTACTACTGCCGGGCTATTCACAATCGTCTCGGAAAGCGAAATCGACTCTCTCGCACCGAAACCAATAAACGCTATTCACATTTAACGTTCGGATAAAGATCACTTAGATACATCCTATAACTATTGTATCGTCATTTAGTTACATGCATTTACGAATTTTGTAGATAAATAGGCTTTTGTATTTTTTTAGAGTAACGCCTGAACAAAAACATAATGCAATATTTTGGAGTTAGACATTGATATCGAATATAAAAAATATATAGTTTAACTATATAATAAATAACAAAAATAAACTGAGATATGTCTCGTTTCTGTCGGGTCTGGGTTTTTTTCTATGGGGCGTGACCGTACTTCTTTGACGTTTGTTTTCGATAACTGTGACAGTTTGCACCGGAAACTTCACGAGAGCTCTGAGGCTGGCGAAAACTTTTCGAATATTGATGATTAGTTTCAATGAAAAAACAATTCAAAAACATGAAAATTATGATAAATACCATACTTTTGCAGTGCTAAAGCGCCAAAAAAGTGCTCAGATCATCACGAAATATAGACCAATCGACGCAGAAATAAAATCCAATCCAACGATATATATAACTCATTTTGGCCAAAATGGCGCTTAAGTAACAGTGGTAGAGCCACGCGGCAGCTTTTGCTGTCGCACGCATGGGCCGGCTCGAACCGGGGTGGTACCACGACCTCACAGAAAACCAGCGTGAAGTAGAGGTTTACCTCTGCGTTTCGCTTGGTGAGTGCAGGTGGCCGGAGGCCCTTTTTACTGGAAATGAGTCATTCCATCTTTGTCCTCACGGGTGACAACGCATCTACATTTTGATTTGTAATAGAGGATAGATGTAGATGTCTATGGACCGCAGCAACCACTTACCATCAGGTGGACTGTGTGCTCGTATCTCACCCTTATCCTATATAAAAAAGCCGTGGTTAACTATGACATTGGGACGTCATACACCCTTAGTCTCCCCGTGACCATGGGTGCTGTAAAGTGTTCGAAACGTCGGGAATATAAAATAAGTTAATATACGCGATAAAGTCCGTAAAGTTAGTTTTATTTAAAAATTATTAAAAAGTATTATAAATTTAAAGTTTATTTTACACAATAATTATACTCAGGTTTAGTAGATTTTTAAGTATTATTTTCCAAATTGCATGATTAGATACAACTTTTTTTTCACAAAGTATTCAAAATCTATTATGCATATCAATTTAATCTCTTCGAAAACTGTGCCAAATAATAGGTTACCTACTTTATACATAATTATTATTGTAGATTAATAATAAAATTGTTTTGCATGACTTTTGACACATATTTGCTACAAGTAAACAGGTTTTAAAACTGTCAAAAAACTGTCCTGTCATTTTTTTAATATTATTTTTCATTAAAAGTGATTACTAAGCAAGTTAATATTTTGTTTTTTCTTTCTTTAACCAATACAGTAAAAAGATTCAATGTAACTCAAATTAGGAATTATAGTATTCTTATTTATTTTGTTTGCTGCTAGTACAATTATTGTTAGCAAAAGTACTGTCTATGTCCGTTAAAAAAAAACATTTAAATTTTAATCATATATCTTTTACATAAGTCTATTTGGAATAACAATGGTACCTACTTTTAATACTATACATCGCTTTTCCGTACGGTCTTGTGACATGTTATAATGTTTAAGTACTATTATCCTGAGACCGTTATCAACCCGTAATGCGTGTTAGTACTTTTTCCTTTCATACATTGGAAAGGACGTTGGTTGCCCGTATTTAAAAAAATATATATTATGGGGATAAGTTCTTTCTCCTTACGAACTGTATAGAGCAAATGTACTAAAGTAAAGTAAATTGCGGTACCTTGAGGATCACCAGCTGATTAGTGACCGCCAATACGGTTTTCGTCGGGGTCGATCAGCTGGTGATCTTCTGGTCTACCTGACCGATAGATGGGCGGAGGCAGTAGGTCCAAGGGGGAGGCGTTGGCCGTTAGTTTGGACATTGCGAAGGCATTCGATCGGGTTTGGCACAAAGCGCTTCTTTTGAAGCTCCCTTCCTATGGGCTTCCCGAGAAATTGTGCAATTGGATCACCAGCTTCCTTGCAGATCTGAGCATCAAGGTCATTGTAGACGGTGCATGCTCCCACTACAAGCCTATTAACGCTGGTGTTCCACAAGGCTGTGTGCTATCACCAACGCTGTTTCTTCTGCATATCAATGATATGTTGCTAACTGGTAACATTCACTGCTATGCGGATGACATATTACTATGTAATTACCTATGTCGATGTCACGTGAGCATTGAGCGCTGTTGTCAGTTTTACAGGTCGCTTCAGGTCAGGAAACTAATATTATCAAGGATGATTTATTTCTTGTCAATTTTTTACGCTATTTATTTTGTTTGAAAAATGATTTTTTTATTTTCTTTTATTATTGTTTATTTTATTATTTCAACAGACATATGTAAACTTGTATTAACTGCTGTGCTATTTAACGTGATAACCTAGGCGACACCCAGTATAATAGCTGCAGAGTGGCTCTAACATTATTCTACTCTAACCTATACTCCAACATATATTCAAAAAACGTTTCGTAATTCGTTAATTTCAAATAAAAACTTTATTTCAGAAACTTTATTGGAATTACTAAGAATCCGTCGAAAGTTTAAGAACCGCTCCGTAAACATCTGTCACCATCTATCAAGAACCCAATACCCACTGATGTGCGAAGACGGACTTTCAAAGAACGCGATACATTTGCCAACATCAGAAAAATCACCGATGCCTTGAAAAAATCAAGATATATTAATTCTCTCAACTAAGTATTGGTGGTGTAAAAATATCTTCTACCCTATATCGTCCGGTGGTTGTCGTACGAGGCGACAGAGGGAAACAAAAACAAGAGATGGGTGGCAGTAAATTCCTGATAACAGCTCAAAATAATAAGAAACTGCGGTTGCCAATGAGCCTGCCAAGCGTGTCAAAATCCCCCCTATAGAACAATAAACGGCGGAGGTCTATGTTCAGCAGTGGACTTTTATAGGCTCTAATTATGGATGTATGGATATTAATTCTAATATAGCCTCGGTTTTTAATGTGGAAAGAATATTAGCTGTCGGCTTGAACAATTTGTCTGTTTGAGTCTTGGTAATTCAGGGTCTAAAAGCTCCTCGTAAAAATAGTTAAATTGAAATATCGTGTCTTGTAGGTAGGAACTTTTAATATAGGAGTTCCTCTGGAAAGATATCATCCTCTTGTCTATTGCTGCCACCAAATAGCAGTGCTTGCACTGTAAACATCCTTTGTTTAAAGTTGGGTATAGATGTACATGGACTGCAGTAGCTACCATCAGGTGGAATGGAAGTTTGTAGTGTCAAGTAGTTGTAAGTTCGTTTGTTAATTGAGTAAAAAAGAGGAACTAAAGACGACAATGATGTCGATTATAATGGTGACAAGCAGTACCAGATTGGTCTTAAGAACATTTTGTAGTGACAGCCTACTTAATGCACAACTATTGAGTTGGCATATAGCATGCTCTATTCATATTATGTCTTACGAACGTCACAGTGAACGCTAGAAATTATCGATCTGCGTGCTATCGAAGTTCTAGGTAGCTGTACAAAAAATGTTTCTATGTTTGAGGGCTTGCTCTGAGTGGCATTCGTTCTCGATGTTAATATGGCCTACAATAATTGTTCCAAGTATGGATGTTTGTCTATATACAATTTATGTATGTAAAACTCCTCCACGATATAGGACATATACCTAGAGTGGTGGTAGCAT